CTCTCTCTGTGTTGTCTCAGTTATAGATGAGCTATTTGCCCAGTATGCATTTTGCCGTGCCTGTGATTTATGGCTAATTTCTTGTTTTTTTTCCATTTGACAAGCTTCTCCCCTCAAGTATATTTATGTTGTGATCACGTTCTGTTAGTGCCGGGAATATATCTATAAACTATGTATCTGTGTGACTTTTGTATGTCGTCTACTCTCGGAGCTGAGGTTGGGAGAACTGGATTGGATCCTGGAGCGGCAGAAGAAAAAAAACAAGCTCCGTTTATTTTTCTACAATTTTGTAAATTGTCCAGCCCCTGTTAATTATGTTATTTATGGGTGATTCATCTTCAGATTATGACCTGCGGAATGGCCGTAAATGCCAGTGGTAGTTCCCGGTTCTGACCGGTCCACCTTGACCTATGACCTCCCTCCACTGTGGACAAAGACCCGTGTCACCTTTTTGTCACCCAGGGGAATCAATTATACCATAAGTTGTTTGACATCTAAATCTATCATCCTGGCTACTTTGTCAGGGAGATAGCTAGCTCCACGCACAAGACGCCCACAAGATTACAGATTCAAAAAGCAAAAGAAAGAAGAAAAAAATTGTGGACGGGGAAAAGTGCTGGACTGCCTGATGGTTTACGACTTCCCGTTCATGCATATTTCATCCTTTTATGCCTTATTTCATGTCGGGATCACTTGAGGTGTGGCGGGAGTGATAGATTCCAAATGGCCCTTTCACATAGTAAGCATACCTCCGCAATATTTTCTTTTTATGGATAATAACTGGAATAATAACCTGACTTGGCTTCCAATTCACTAGGGAGACCATACCACTGCAAAAATAATTTTTCAGATCAGGAATTCCATTAAGGAGTGTTGACCCGCAACTGCCCGACATTAAGTGGCTTTTATAATTATTTCAGCGCCAAAACTTGTGGCGTAGTTTTACAGTACCTCGTTCTTATTTTTCGGCCTCTCTGTCAGCATGCCATGCCAAAAATATGGCAGCTGCTTTTTTTTTGTGAAGGGGGGGGGGGGGGAACCTGCGAAAATGGCAGCTTTGTCCTACCGGTCGTTCACCCCCAACTTTGATAGGGCCTCTGAAAGTTTGGCTGTCGCTCCTAATTGTTTTATCCACTCATCAAACGGTATTAACTCCATACCCACCAAATGTCTGACCATTAATATTACAACAAATAAGAAAGCCAAGAAAAAATACCCAATTCTATCTTCCTGACATTTTGACTGGTCATAAAACCCAGGTAAACTGAGATTTTAATATTTGTGTACAAGCCAGAATTGCAGGTATTCACAGTGAAATAATTACCTCCTCAGGATATTCCCTGCAAATTGTTGCGGTCTGAAGAACCGCCGCATTTGTAAGATTGCCGATAATCGTTCATTTCAGATTTTTTGTTCTCTGCGTCTCTTTCTTTACGTCTGCCCCAGAAAAGTAGGAGGGAAAATATTGCAGTTGTAAGTTTCCCGTCAAAAAAAAGAAAGAAATGCAGTTGAACGAGAGAGTATTTTTGGATTTAGACGTGATTGATATTTGTTAAGTTATAGCTGGGAGATTAAAGTCGGGAACTGTCGTTCCAAATCACAGTCACTCAGTTGACCTAACCTAGATATGATTGTTCCTTGAGAAATTCCAATTTCTTTCTGTTATAATTCAAGAGTTGCCACCCACCCCCCCCCCCCCTTCCTATTTTTGTTCAATTGTAATTTTTGTATCTTTACACAGAGTGCATGTGCTCAAAAAACTGACTACCTCCATTGCTGTAAAAATGTAAAAATTGAAGGGAATATACGACATCTGCTTTTACTGTAATTTTCACAAATGGATGAACTTGGGGGTTAGTATTTTATAGCAAATACTGACCTGGTTTTGTATTCATAGATGCTGGAAAAACCAAGAATAATAATTGCTGTTTTTGTAGTCTGGTTGTGGTTCCCTGACCCCGCTTCAGACGAAACAGAGCAATTTATAGACGTCAGGGAATTGTCAGGTCAGGGAACCAGACTAGCTGGCTTGCACCCATCCACGGATATGGATGTACTGTAACCAATTGCAAACAAAATTTGGACTAACTAAATTTGGTAAAATTGGGGGCAGTATTTGAAAAAAGTCAGTATTTGCCCCAACGATGGTCGGTCGACCATCGTTGGAATTTGATACAAAAAATCCACTTTTCTTGGCAGCACACTATGTGCCATGATTTCACAGGATGCTTGACTGAGACACTTGCAGTCAAGTAAAGCATTTCATAATAATTTGGTAGTTTTGTTTTTAACGTTTGCAAAAGTTGTGTATTACCTTTAACAAAATTGGCCTGTAATCAACAGAAATGCGTGATCCAGGTGGATTGTTACTGTATACATGCCAGTAGTGTCCAATATGATCTGCTTAAATATAACAGTTACAATGTAATTGCTGGATGTACATGTATCAACACAGTTTACCTATACATGTATCTCCTTTTGATAGGAAATAATTACACGCAGCAGTTGATGGGTGGTATACATGATTTAATAGTGGCTTCTGCAGTAGCTGCTTGTGTCATAAACATGCCATAAATACACCAAAGCAAAGCTGAAATATTGTCCCCGTTCTAAAAAACATAATGTGTATGTTGTTAATATTGATTCTGATAACAGGCAAAGTTGATTGAAATTGTGATTGTATTTGGTTTTTTTTTCATATTCAGTAGTTATTTTCTCTGTTACAAGCATTGTCAGAACTATTCCAAATATTCTTAGTACTCAGTACTGCCAGAGAAAAAATAATGCCATTGTTTCTGTATGAATACTTGGAGTTTCGACAAATAGTTGTTTTCCTTGTCATGTAATGCCCAGATAGTGTACATAGTGTTACAAGTGTTATTGAAGAATATGTTTACCCATTGTGTTACATTTTATTTACTCCTCTTATCTGCAACTTACATTTTCCTTTTACTTCTGCTATATTATTAGGGATGAGATTTTTCCAGATTTTGTCTAGATTTGTGGATTTCAAGCAAGCCTAAATGAGAAATGTTCATTACTGTTTTTTTTTTTTTACATTTGGGTCAAAAATTTACATGAGACTATTGCAATGAGCAGATTTTAGAAGTGCCTTTTAAAGGGAATGTACATGTACATCATTGGCTTTTGCTGTAATTTTCAAAATGAACAATTTGGGGGGTTAGTATTATAGATCAAATATTGTTACACTGATATGTTTGAAGTTTTGTGTTCGAAAATGCTGGAAAAAACAAGAAAAAGTAAAATGTTCAAGTAGTCTGGTTCCCTGAATCCACTAAAGATGAAATGGATCAAAACTGCCGGAAAATTGTAAGGTAAGGGAACAGTCTAGCTGACCTGCACCCGTTCATTAACATGGAACCAATAGCAAACAAAATTTGGACTGAAAAAAAAAATTGGTAAATTTGGAGCAGAAGTTGAAAAATAGTTAGGTTTTTCCAACGTTGGTCGGCCGACCACCGTTGGAAATGTATACAAAAGTACAATTTTTCTTGAAAATGACTTCACACCAGCAAGTGCCATAATTTTACAGGATGCTTTAGACTGTCATTTACCAACATCCTAGTAAGGTATTTCGTAACAACTTGGTAGTTTATTTTTCGATGTTTGCAAATGTTGTATTTTTTCTTTAAGGCAAATACATGTACATACTGTAGATAGGCCTTGTGTTGCTCTGGGGCTCTGCCAAATGTGCTTGGACTTTCATTTTCCCCCAATCTCACCCCTAGTTTGTATAATACTGGATTGTTGAGATTTAGATGTAGTTTAGAATGGAGCATTTGACATTCATGCATCTCTCACTGAAATGTTCCTACATAGCACAGTGTTCATGTGCAGTTAATAAGTTGTTTGTACTTCATGGGGGGGGGGGGAGGAGATCCTTTGAATCTGATATTAATAAACCGATCAAGATTTATGAGTGTTATGTCTTTGCAATAAACTTCCGACATCCGAGGTCAGATTATATGCCTTTTCCATTGATGTATCTTTTTTTTTCTTTTTTTTTATATTCTTTTACTGATATATGACACCTGTGTCTTTATGAAAGCCGGCAGTGGCAATGACGTGCAGGGTCTGCGCCAGAGAGACAATTTATGATATTGAAACGTGAGGCGGGTAAAATTAATTTCCCCCCAGCCATAGTTTATAACGGCGATAAGGTAAACAATACAGTCGTATAGCCGCATAATTATAGGTGTCATCAAGCACCGAGAGCTATATCTGCACTTTTATGGCCGGAATTGATGGCCCTGTTATTTGAAAGATCATTTTTTTTCTTGTCCCTTCTTTCTCTCTCTCTCTCTCTCTCTCTCTCTCTCTAAACCTAGAGTCGTTACTCAAGAAAAATCGTGGCGGGAGGGGGGGTTTGAAGAAAATTTGAGTGAAGGTACAGCCACACCGCCAGGCATACACAGATTAGGAAATTAGAAGTTACTGAGTGATTGTTGAATATGAAATGACAGAGAAATGGATTGGAAGTCGCGGTTATTTTGTTTCTCTTGTAATTTTCTTTTTTTTTTTATCCTGTGCACTTTGGGGCTGGAGGATGGTTTTCAAATCTTGTTATTGCCTGTCCCTGGCTGCCCTTGTCTCCAGTTATTTGTTGGGGGAGAGCTGGATTTTGAGCAATGTCTTCTTGGATATTTTCAGGTTAAAGCGGTGTCTTTGTTCTTTTTCCTGCGTTTAGCAGTTGCCAAGTGTTAATCATTATTGTTTAATGTAAAATTTAAGTCTTTGTCATATTGGGAATGTCAAGGTATGAGTATATCATTTGCAGCTATAATCCAAAAGTAGCTGACAAATTACTGTTGAAAATCGTACTTGGTTTTAAGATAGTAATGGCACTAAACTCCCTGTAAAATTATTCTTCCTGGCATGCTGTCATTTAGAAGAAAACAATAATAGAAGGCAATTTCCAAAGATGTGTCTGAAGAAGCATTTTTGGAATTTTCCGTTTGTAGTCCGCTTGGAATTCAGATGCTGCATTGTGATTCTTGCAAGCAAACTGAGAAATGCTGACCAATATTTAAGACTCATTTGCATAACAATTACCTTCAGTTCCCAAGTACACTTAGCAAGCCAATCAGCATGACCCAGTACCACAAGCAAAGCAGGACAAACAAAGTTTGTACCATGTGACATGAAATCACTTTGTGAGTTTGTGCGGTTCTAAAAAGAACCGGTGGGGACTCATCTTTCTGACGGAATGCCCTGCCCATCATGAAGTGACTGTCAGGGGTATATGCTTCTAGAAGTTGCTTTGTGTCACCCCAACATATTTTTAGATTTCAGTTACAATTTACTGTTTTAGTGTAACAACAGCTAATTTTAGAAGGTAACTTGTCAGACATTAAAGGGCCATATGAATTTTACTTGGGCTCATATTTTGTGCAACTTTCTACTCCTATTAAATGTATAAAACTATTTGACATCCCTTTTTGGTTAATGTTTATTGAAAAGCGCACTTTTTTAAACCTTGCAAATTTTCCATGCTTGCTTTCCTTGCCAAATGAGGGTGCTGTTGCTGTGATGTCTTTTCAAGGAGACACTGTTCAGTTTGGGGGTTTTCTGTTAAAATTGCGAAGCTAAAAGTTGCTCATTGAAAACATTTGTGGGAAAACTTTGCTTATCGGCCTAATTTCATGTACTGAAACAACAAATCACCAAAGAAAAGAAAATTTACGATAGCAAAATATCCAAAATTGTGGCAAATTGTTGTGCTGAAATAGCTGTAACATTGAGGATTTTGCCTGAAATGACATCACACTTTTGCTCATGAATATGCACATTGTATTAGCATAAAAAACAAAAAAGCCACAAAAATGCACTTGGAAATGAAAAATTGAAAATTGAAAATAAGGTTAAATGCATTTCCAAAGATTGCTTTAAAAATACTTACATTACATGGCCCCTTTACAGTCAAGAAAAGCTGCAACAACCTGTTGCTCTGTGGTTAGTAAATTTCATGTACTATTTTTAAAAGTAATTTTAGTTGTTTCCTTTCCAATCCGAATCTCACTTACTGCATTATTTCTGTCTCGCTACCTCCACACAGATTCATTTCAAAAGACCGCTCCCTCTCTGTATCCTCTGCAACAGCTTGCATCAGTGAGCAAATCAAAGTAATGATTTCCTTAATCTCCCTTTTCTTTGCACATACAGGGGACCTTTTATTTTCTCTTTCTCCCTCAACTGTGAAAGAAAAATCCTCAGGTTGTGTTTTTGTCCCTTAATGGTTCTTTTTAATATCACTGTCCTTCCATTCCTGATTTGTTTCTCTTCTCTCTCTCTCTTTTTTTTTTTTTTTTTTGGATTTTCACCAGGAGGAATGCTTTTCAATAAAACTTGTGTAGAAGCCCAGAGGTTTTTTTTGGGGGGACCACTCCAGGAGAATATGGTTTGTTCTCATTCAGGGAACTTATTTTACTCGATATCCACCAAAACTCTGCTCTTTTTTTTCTTCAAAGAGCTTGATAAAACATAGGGTTTCTGGTGTACAGATGCATGCGTCTGTCAGCGACTGTATGCTCACATTTTGAAATTGTTGCTGCCAAAAGCTAAGGTGCTAAAAAAATAACTGCATTTATTAATGTTAATTTGCAAAAAATTAATATTAACAAAGTTCATACAAAGTACAAGTGATGTACCATGTTCGTATTCATAAAATCTGGCAGTTGCATTTGCTACCAATTTTTAAACGTTTACTGCCATCTGTATGAATAAAAATTAAGTGCGTGTGTTAAAAAAAATGACTCCCTCCATTGTTGTAAAATGTAAAATTAAAGGGATTATACAACAATGATACCATGTTTGTATTCATAAAAACTGGCAGTTGCATTTGCTACCAATTTTAAACATTTACTGCCATCTGTGTATGAATAAAAAATTAAGCAAACGCTTTTAATACTGAAAACCATTTGCTCTTGAGTAAACGGCCTGCACAATGTAAAGGTTTACAGGTAAAATGATAAACAACTTGATTATTTTGTTCAAGAGTTATAGGTATAACATAATTCAACATAATTGATCATTTTGTTCAAGGGTTATAGGTATAAGAAGATCGTCATTTTTTTAAATGAAAATCGCTTTTATTTTGACACCCGATGACATCATAATGACGTCAGAGTAATAAGCACCACTTAGGATGAGTCGATATATATTGGAAGTTACAAGTTCCTATCATAAACCGTTTAGGAGAAAACCCGCAGAAACGTGCTGTACGGAAAATAGAAAGAAAGAAAGAAAGATTAATCGTAACAACTCCAAAGAGTGGTTGGGTTGTGCCCGACCACTCAACAAAGTTCATATAAAGTACAAATGATATGCCATGTTCATATTCATAAAACTGGCATTTGCATTTGCTACCAATTTTCAAACATTTACTGCCATCTGTGTATGAATAAAAATTAAGCAAACGCTTTTACTGAAAACCATTTGCACTTGAGTAAATGGCCTGCACAATGTAAAGGTTTACAGGTAAATGATGAAAAATTGTTTTCTTTCCTCTCTGAATCTCACTCACTGCATTATTTCTGTCTCGCTACCTCCACATAGATTCATTTCAAAAGACCTCTCCCTCTCTGTATCCTCTGCAACAGCTTGCATCAGTGAGCAAATCAAAGTAATGATTTCCTTAATCTCCCTTTTCTTTGCACCTTACAGGGACCTTTTATTTTCTCTTTCTCCCTCAACTGTAAAAAGAAAAATCCTCAGGTTGTGTTTTTTGTCCTTAATGGTTCTTTTTAATATCACTGTCCTTCCATTCCTGAATTTGTTTCTCTTCTCCTTTCGTTTTCTTTTTCTTCTTTTTTTTTTTTTTTTAATTTTCTCATGGAAGAATGCTTTTCAATAAAACTTGTGTAGAAGCCCAGAGGGTGTTT